TTTATTGATATTACGAAATATTAGCTAGTGACTATCCAGTGACGAGTTAGAAATCTTATCTAGTTAACACTGTCTAGTGCCTAGATAGTAAATCAAATTGGCTAGATTTATTTCTGCTCGGGTACCTATTCAGATCAATATTTTATCAATTAACTTTTTTAAATTTATATATATTTTTTATTTAAAAAAGGTATAAAATGTTAAAAATATGTTTTTTTTACTCTTATTTGCCATGGTGAATTTTACTTTTTGTTTAAATCTTGAGAGTTCAATTAAATTCTTTTGGTTAAAAATATGTACTTAAGTACATATTTTCTATAAAAATTATATGTTATTTTTACAAATTTGTTTATTCATGTGGAAAATGTAATAAATCTGCTTTAAAACGATTGATCGCCAAATTCTTAAATCGTTTAACCAAAGTTAGAGCGTTCTAAGAATATCGTGACTTCGGAATTTGTGTAAATTTAAATATTCCACATCTCTCTTAAAAAACATTATGAGATTATTAAAACCTGATAAAAATAAGTATAATAAAAAGTTTTCTAAGGAACAAAAAATACTCATTTTTTTGTTCAATTTGACGTAGAATCGCGTCCGTATATATATTTCCTTGTAAACTTATTATTTTCAGAACAATTGTTTGGAACTATTCTGTAATTGTTTCAGAAAAGTTATCAACCTGGAAATTATTGAAGAGGATTCCTACGAGAAGGATGCTCTATTCTATGTCGAATTGGGCGAGCCGGTGCTGCAAGGAGGTGATTAAATCTTTTATCAATTTGATTAAATTTTTTAATACTGAATTTCCCGACATACTTTGAAGTCATTGCGATAATACTTCCTTTTCCCATTTTTTTTCTGTACAGGACCAAGCATTTAAATCGGTATACGAAACAAAAAAGTTCCCGAGAAGTTAAAAATTTACAGTCAATGAAGTGAATATGATACAATAATTGTAATGTATATATAATAATAGATAAATTATTTTAATGTATTTCAATTATTTTTCCATAACAAATATTTCAGTTACTTTTTTTTTAAATTCCGTAATAAGAAAAATATAAGATAATTTTGTGGGATTAATTTTTCTCCAAGGAGCTTTTTTGCGTGCTCGTATAAGAAAATCTGATACACAAATTTAAATTACTTTTTATTATGTACTTTAAATTTACATGTTTATAAACGAAATAAGAAGAAAATCTCGATTTAAACTTTCAGCATTTGATTTCGATAGCGCCGTCACTTGCTTACGTTGTTCTTTTCACTCGATCCAATGCAATTTTTGCTGATACGAAGTTCGATGGAAGACTTTTCAGTCTCTTGACGAGGATAAATGTGATGGGAAAACTTTGACTCTAACGTGGGAACACCACATAAAAACTTATCTATTTCCGAGCAATTATGTTTAATTGCGATAAAAAACGATAAGCTTTAATATTTAAATGTGTTTAAATTCGAAACAACCTTAATAATGAAGACTCGACATTTATATGGAAAACTATTAATATTTAATGAACAAAACATAAAGAACTATTAAATATCTGCATTATATCCTTATTTGCCTATAGGTATCTTAAGTTTTACTAGTTAAAGTCACATAATCAAAAGTTTTAATATTTAAAAAAAGAGAAAAGAAAAAAGGGAAATGTCGATCGATAAAAGCATGAGCGTGACGATTGGCGACGCTATTAAGATTAATCGCGATTAATTATATAAATAGATCGATATTTCGTGATAAGAACGCCGATAATTTGTTCTTGATAAAAATTGATTTCCACGTGTCTCTTCATGCATGTATCACGCGCTGGTTCTCTGCCTGGATCCGTCATAATTGAACGTAAGTCTTGAATAAACGGACATTTTGCGCTTGTCCAAATTTTTTCTTGCGCATCAGTTAGTCCCGTGCTGATTGATTTAATTAACTGTCACAGTAGTATGTACACATTTTAATACAAACGGATTTTTTATTTACCGCGAGTTATCATTTTGTGATATTTTCAGGAATTTTTTACAGCAAGACCAGGAAGGAATAAACATTTCTTATAATTGTAATATATGTGTATATATGTATTAACATCATTTTGTTTAAATTGTATTATAAACATTAATATTATATAATTTTGTCTATATTGTTTTTCAATATTTAAACATTCTTACTGTTTTATATTTTTTTATATAAATTGAGATATATTGTATAATATATAAATTTTGTACAATTAAATTTTTTAGTAAATCTTCCACCTCTTTTATGTTCAATTATTTCATTAAATATTTGCACATTTAAAACACGTCCTTTTTGTAAATAATACAAAAATAATCCTTTTCTTCTTGGTTTAGATAAAGAAATCGGGCTTTATTTATTCAGTTATTTATTTTATTTGAAATTTGAAACACAGGCTTTTAAAACAATCAGGTAACGTTCACTGTAGTGCTTCTTCATAATTATTAATGGCTTTGCCATAATAACACAAGGCTTCATTCATGACATGATAATTACTAGAATAGAACATTATTGGAATAGATCGCTTATTTCGCGCAACTAAAAGAAGGATCTAAGATGGTGTCAATTGCCGATTGTTTTGTTTTTGTAATTAGAGTGATAAATTTTGACGAGTGTGCACGTAATTCTCGCAAACTTTTGCAATATTAACTGCACTAAAATTTCGCACTAGCTTCCGTGATTATTTATAATTCAGATTTGTAATATCAAATTATACATTTCATGTTTTTGCGTCTTCTGTCATCTCCATTTACAAATGTATGTTACATACAGTGTGTCACTCCTAACGTCACCTCTAAAATGTCTGTTATTTTTAAAGGAAGAATTTTCAAGAAAAAATTCTTTCCTTCAATGCTCGATGTAGAAAAATAAGTATTTTACATATAATAAATATTATATAAATATTATATAGCACATATTTTCGTTGTTTGCTATAACATGATATTAATAAAAATAAAGGATTTTATTGGCAATAACAATGGTAACTTTAAAATTTAAAAAATATAGTTTTGAACTAAATACTTTATTAACTTTAATATTTATTCTT